CACCCATGCCGGGGGGTCTTGGGGAGAGGGGGCCGCTGGCGGGTGAGCCATAGGGGGGTTGCGCAGGAGGACAGGAATACCTGTGATAGCACAGGGAGGCAAGCCAGCTCCCCAAGACCCTCATTCGGTCTCAGTGGGAAGCTCCTAGTGCCAACCTTCAGTGCTGAGACCTCTGCTCAGGCAAAAATACCGTTCGAATCGCGTGGAAGCCTGGGCCCTGGAACTGAGCGCTGCGTCGGGTGTTACGTATTTGAACATGACTCCCAACTCCGGACCCTTGAAGGAAGCCAGGCCTACGAAGTCAAACGTGCTCAGACTTTTCAAGTACACACGCTAATCCACCCTGTGTCAGAGCTGGTAACTTGGTGCTCGTATTTTGCTTTTCGTTTTTTTTTTGTTTACTTTTTTAATGAGCGTTTTATTTTTCTTCTTCCTCAGCATGAACAAGTCTGTGCAAAATGACTCCAACTTTGAGGGCTGAAGTCACAGAGAGCAAACGATGTGTGGAAGGAATGATTCCTCGTTTTTGTTTTCTTGGAAAATGGGAATGGTCTTACTCGTCGAGCAGCAGGTCAGCATCTGCAGCGGCCAGCCCTGTCCGTCAGGCAGAACGCCCGTGCTCCCGGTGCGGCGGTGGCAGGGGAGCTGTGCGTGTTTCCTGCGCGCCCGGAGCTGCTGCGTAAGGCCTCTGCGTCTTTGGGCATGCTGTCAGCTTCCCTCAAGCACATCGTGGCAGGGGCTGGGTCATGAAGCTGAAAGAGTGGCCGATCCCTGTAGTTACAGGGGTCAAGAGAAATGACATGAAGAGGGCAGGACCGTTTTAAAGAACACCGTACTGATGTGCTTTGTGCATCAGTGTCAGCAAAAGACTTTGTTTCGTGCAGTTCTAATCTGGATTGTGTACCTGAACTATGTACCGGGGTTTTGTTTGATGGATGTTTGCTTTTCAATGCGTTCTTCCGTCGCCGATGCTGGCCGCTCCCTCCCACACGTGCCGGGCTTCCTGGTGAGACCGGTCCAGCGGTTTGGCAGAGCAGCACTCCGGGTTCTCCTCACGCTATCCCTGCTCTCCAACCACGCCAGTTCTCCTCAAAGGCCGTTTGCAAAATGTTTCGTGTTGTTCTTTTTCTTCACGGCTTCCTCCTGGCCAAATTCTTTCAACGTCTTCTGTGCCAATTCACCGTATGGTACCAGATCGCGTGTCTGCTTGTGTCAGAGTCGGATTGTCTTACTGTTTTCTTAAGCAGGGAAGTAATAACAAACAAAATCAAATAAAATATTTAAACTTGTGATAAAGCAACATGTCAGCATCTCTTACCTGTGTAGGAGTATGTCACTTTAAATTCATGTTGGAAAAAGGGAGCGAACAGAGATGTAGGAGATCCAAATCTACCCAAGAATCCAAT